TCAAAATGGGAAATTATGCTCAGTAAATGAGTGTTCTCGGGATTCTAAAGGGCAGCCTAGGGCTATGAATGGGTGGTCAGCCCTTGGCTTTGGTGTTTTCTAATGGTAAAGGTGTATGTGTGTGTGTGTGTGTGTGTGTGTGTGTGTGTGTGTGTGTGTGTTGGGTGTGAGTGAGATGTGGATGGCTCATTTAACCACATAGATACAAGTGTATCTCAGGTTTCTTTTGGTGCCAGCTGGCTCTTGCGTCTTCCTCTGCAGATCACAGCCCTCAGCCTCCAGGAGCCCATGCTGTCACCGTACCTGGTCATCTTGTATCTTAGTCAACTTTACCTGTGTCCCCTAGACCCATTAGAACTTTTCAAAGTATTGTCAATGTCACCAATGTCATGTTATCTATTTAACTGATGTGTAACTGTGAATTTCCCAAATGTTAAGACAACCACACATCTCTTCTGGGGAAATAGCAGACGTTTTAAAAAGCAAAAATAAAGTCTTCAAGAAAAATAAAAAATATCTCCTTTGCTGATCTACAAGCCTGAGTCACCAGTATGGACAGGTCTGGTATTTATTTTTTTAATTTTTTTATTGTAAAAATACTGTACAGAGGGGTTACAGTTACATGAGTAAGATAATGAGTACATTTCCTATCAAGCATTGTTTTCTACTCCTTTGTCAGGTCTGGCATTTCAACACCAGAGGGCGCCAGTGGTTAAGTTATGTGGACAAGTTAGTTGCTCGCGAAGGAAATTGTTGATCCTTTCATTGTCTGGTTACCCCAAAGAGGCAGATAGTGTTGGGGGCATAGCAGGTAAACTGAGTGAAAAAGGGTAACTGTTGCTAAGAGAAAAGGGCTCGACAGTTCCAAGCAGAGGGTTATTGCCTGGATGATCAGCCTGTAGATTTTCAGCCATCAGTAATAACTCAGCCAGAACTTTCTGTCTTTGTCATCTGAGAAAGCCACTCCCTCCCTAACCCCCACACTCCCACCATGCCTATAGCCCTGAAACAGCTTCCCCTTAGCAGCTCAGAGGAACTCTTCAACCAGGGCTGGGGGTGGGGTATCTGTGCTGTCCCTTCCCCTGGGCCAGAGACCACTGGCTCATGCAGGACAAGTAGGAAGTCTGGCCTAGCCTGCTTGGTTTCATTTCAGGAACATTTTCTTGATTTTAAGGGTTTTAATAGTTTTTTTCAAAGAACAGTTTTAGGTTCATAGCAAAATCGAGCAGAAAGTATTTGAAATTTCCCATATGCACCCTGCCCTATACATATATAAGCTACCACCACTATATATTATATATAGAAAATATAACATACATAATATAGTTTATATTATATTTATATATTTCTATATTATACTTATATTCCACTAATTTCAATGTACACTATTTTTCAGTTTCAATCAATTTAAAATTTCAATGTGGTGGTCTGAAATCAGTCATGGTCTAGCTTCTTTTCATTGAATATTTCTTTGAGAGAATGTAAAAGTACACAGTTTGGCAGTTTGGCAGAGTCAAATGCAGTGATTTAGAGCTCAGGCTCTGAATCGAGACTCAATCCAATCCAGTCTTTGCTTCATAGGCACTGTTTTCCTGATTGATTACTCCTTTACAATTTCAGATTTTGCGTAAGAGCCACAATCTTCCATCTGCCTTTAGAGCATGGTAATGGCTTGCACACATTCTGACGAACACATTTCCTTTCTCCTATGCTTAAAGTTGTAGTGTCATGTGAAACTACTTCTTCTGGCTCAAGGTGTTAGTCTGGATTCCCAGAAGAAGCTTTGTTGTTGTTGTTGTTATTATTACTATTATTACTGTCAGTTGTGGGGCTTGAACTCAGAGCCTGGGTGCTGTCCCTGAGCCTTTTTGTACTCAAGGCTAGCGCTCTTCCACTTGATCCACAGTGTCACTTCTGATTTTTGAGTGGTTTATTGGAGATAAGAGTCTCATGGGGATTTTTTCCCCCTTGGGCTGGCTTTGAACCACAATCCTCAGATCTCAACCTCCTTAGTAGCTAGGATTACAGAGGTGAGCCACTGACACCTGGCAATCTTAGTATTTTGTAGTACAACTGCTTGGAGTTTTTGAAGTAATGGACAAGGAGAGAAACTGTTTCTATTATCCTAAGGGAAGGGTGGGCAGACGGCTTGTGGTACTTCCAGCTCCCATGGCTCCTCTGGGGCCCTTCTATAGAGCTAGGACACCTGCAGTCCCCAAGCTGCAGCCTCAAGCTTATACTACCTGTAGCCTAAGCCCCACTTCCTCTCTATTCCGGGCTTCTGTAGAAGTTGCTGACCCTAGTGCACAGAGTGACCCAGAGCTCAGAGGTATTTAAAAATGGGTGGCTTCGCAACCACTGCCACCCAAGATGTAGCACTTGGATCTGAGTCCAGTCACAGGCACTTCATCCATGGGTCTGGCACAGCCTAAGCAGGTGCTCTACCACTTGAGCCAGCCCTTTGTGCTTTATTTTGCCAATAGGGTTTTGCGTTTTTGCCCTGGGCTAGCTTCAGACTGTGACCCTCCAACCCATGTCTCCCATGTATCTACAAATACAGGTATCAACCACTGCGCCAGGCTCCTTCCTGTTCTTTGAAATTTAAGGTGTGTTTTATGATCTAGCATGTAATATGTCTAACCAATATTCCATGAGCATCTGAAAAGAATTACTGGATACAGCAGTCAATAAATGTCAATTATATCCAGTTGATGGGTGTGGTTGTGGAGCCCAGCTATGTGTTTAAAGATTTCTGCTGGTAGAACCTGCTCATTCTGATAGAGGAGTATTGAAGTCTTCAACTAATAGCAGGGTCATCTGTTTTGTTTTCAGGTTTCATCTGATATATTTTTACATTCTCTTGTTAATAGGCATGCACTTGTTAGGTGTTAAGGATTATATTTTTGAAAGAATTTATCTGTTGCTTATTGTATAATGCCTTCTTCTACTCTACTGACTTTAATAAGCTGGGTGCTGGTGGCCCACACCTGTAATCCTAGCTCCTCAGGAGGCTGAGATCTGAGGATTGCAGTTCAAAGTCAGCCCAGGCAGGAAAGTCCATGAGACTCTATCTCCAATAAACTACTCAGAAAGAGTTGGAAGTGGTGCTGTGGCTCAAGTAGTAGAGCGCTAGCCTTGAGCACAGAGAGGCTTAGGGACAGAGCCCAGACCTGAGATCAAGGCCCAGGACCAACAAAAGAAGGAGAAAGAAAAAGGTGGAAACTCTTAAAGGAGTGTGTGTGGGGGTTGGGGGTGAGTACATGTTTGTCAGGCACTCTGCCCACTGAGCTATATATTCCCAGCCCCTCTCAAAGCATATTAATATGGATGGGATTGGCAATAGAAGGTGTGACAATGATTAAAATACATTGTACTTGTAATCTGACTTATTGAATTGAAGCCTCTCTATTCAACTACCTTAAAAAAAATCACAGTTGTTTTAAATTCCCGTTTCAAGAATTCCAATCTACTTGCCCTCTCTGAATCTCATTTAGGAACTCTACCTCTTTAAATTATGTACCTATCTTTTGTGTGCTTTCTCTTGAGTTCACACAGTACACTAGGTAAATGGAGTGGTGGTAAACACAGCATGATGGTGCTATGTGAGGAGGAGTGTAAGTCCGGTGTACAGGTCCCTGTCATGTGTGAGCATAGGCTGCAGATGGTGACTTTGCAGTCTTCCTCTGGCCTTTGGTGAATGGGCCTGAGTTGGGCTCTTGGGACAGTTTAGATCTTTCTTTTCCCTTGGGTCAGTTTAGATCTAATGAAGCTCAGTGGTTCAAGCTCTGGTCCAAATTGTTTCTCCTAAGGGTAGGTCTTGTTGAGAAAAGCAGAATGCTCTGGCCTGTTTCACAATAGATTGCTTTTCCTTACTCATCTGGAAGTGTTCAGACAGCTTCTTGCTGGAATTGCTGTAGAGTGCCTTGTGTACATGTGTCCTGCAGCAGACTAGTGGAGCGTGTGTGTGTGTGTGTGTGTGTGTATGTTTGTGTGTACCTATATGGCACCCATTTGGGTCCAGAATTCAAGTAAACCTCTTCCAAAGAAATCTATTTAGTTCTTTTAGAAGCAGTATTCTACTCCCCCTCCAAAGAAATATAAATGTAATGTTTGTTCATTATTATTATTAATTATGGTAATTTGTTATGAAGGTAAAACATGTTGCCAGGTGCTGGTGGCTTATGCCTGTAATCCTAGCCACTCAGAGGCTGAGATTTTAGGATTATGGTTCAAAGCTAGCCTGGGCAGAAAAGTCCCCGTGAGACTCTTATCTCCAATTAACTACTCAAAGACCAGAAGTAGAGCTGTGGCTCAAAATGGTAGAGCAATAGCCTTGAGCAAAAGAGCTTAGGGACAGCACGTAGACCCTGACTTGAAGCCTCATGACAGACATAAAAGAAAAATATAACATATTTTAAATATTTATATAATATACATAAATATTGTGTGTATTTGTGTGTTCATACGTGTGTGTGTGTGTGTATGTGTGTGTGTGTGTGTGTGTGTGTGTGTAATAAAACAAAAACAATAATGATCTGCAAGGTGGTTTGGACAATTTTAGTCCTGTGTGATGGGACCAATAGTTGTTTTTATTTTCCTATTTTTAATTTTTATGCATTTCCAAGTATTATTAGAGGAACATGTGTGTACTAATTTTACAATTAGTGGGCACTGATAGTTTGAGTTTGTAATCCTAGCTACTGTGGAGGCTGAGATCTGAGGATCACGGTTTAAAGCCAGCCCAGGCAAAAAAGTCCATGAGACTCTCACATCCAATCAGCCACTGGAAGTGTAGCTGTGTCTCAAGTGGTAGAGCACTAACTAGCCTTGAGCAAAAGAACTAAGGGACAGTGCTCGAGCCCTGAGTTCAAGCTCAGTACTAGTGTGCACACACATTCATGTACACACACACACACACACACACACACACATTCCCCACAAAGGTAATGTTTCAGTCAGTTGTGAGCATTTGGATGTCTTTTCTCCCTGTTTCCTTCCAGTCTGCAAAATGAATGTTCACCGTCGATGTGAGACCAATGTAGCTCCCAACTGTGGTGTGGATGCCAGGGGAATCGCCAAAGTGCTGGCTGACCTGGGCGTTACACCAGACAAAATCACCAACAGTGGCCAGAGGAGGAAAAAGGTAAGTGGTGATTTGGTGGAATGTCTGGAGCTCTGAGCTGCCTTCCTGAGGGTATTCTGGGCTGAGGTGAAGATCCAAGCCATGGACATCATAGGACTATGCCAGGAAAGAAAGTACTAGGGGCATTGTATTTGAACTTGCCAATCAATCTAAAAGTGTACATTGAGGATCTGTTTATTACCTGTTACTTTGTGCAAGTCAGTTCGGCACTGAAAATACTGGGTAGAGTCTGATCTTCAAAGAACCTATGGTTTTCCTAAGCTGAGAACTCGCACACTATATACACATGTAGATGTTATTTATGATATAAAGCTGAATAAATACATGCAAGCAGGTAATAGAGCCAACCAATGTCCCGCATTGCTCTAGTGAGAGAGCCTGCATTGCTTGGATGGACGATTAGAGGGGCTCTATTAAAGAGGTGGTACTGGGCTTTACTTAAAAATGTCAGTTGTATTTGGAGAGAATGAAAGTTGAACTAGCTGAAAGCTCTCATATTTTCCTGTTTAACTGGCAAGTGAACTCTTGACTCTGCCCTCATAATATTAATTCAACAGTTGCTGTTGCATACCAGAGTCCCTGTCCATCCTCAGGACAATGTCTTCATTCCTGATGCTTGACCTTAGAAAATTTATAAGCCTCCTTTCTTTTATTTCTTTTTTCTTTCATGTGCACACACACACACACACACACACACACACACACACACACACACACACACACACACACACACACACACACACCAAGTACCAGTCCTAGGGTGTGAACTGTCCCTAAGCTGTTTTGCTCAAGGCTGGTGCTCTTCACTTAAGCCACAGTTCTATTTCTGACTGTTTTAGTGGCTAATTGAAGATCTGAGTCTCATGCAGTTTTCCTGCCCAGGCTGACTTTGAACTGTGATCCTCAACTCTCAGCCACTTGAGTAGCTAGGATTACAGGCCTGAGCCATCAACACCTGGCCAGGCCTCCTTTCTGATGTCTTCTTGTTCTCTCTAGCTTGTTGCTGGTGCCGAGTCCCCACAGCCAGCTTCTGGAAACTCTCCATCTGAGGAAGACCGGTCCAAGTCAGCACCCACTTCACCTTGTGACCAGGGTAAGACTCAAGAGTTAATTTCCTACCCTTGAGCTCTGTCATTGGAAGGACCGAGAAGAGTGTGAAGCCTCTGAAGCCAAGAATGGTCTTGTGCGCTGAAACAGCTCCCAGCCCGGGAGGTCCTCACGCACCTCTTACCTATGGTGTAATTATAGGTATTTCACGTTATGAGGCTTTCTTGAGGGCGGCCACTAGCTGACTGAGCTTTCCTTCTGTTCCTCACAGGCCGTGGCAAGAGAGAAGGCGCAGACAGGGGATGTTATGGTTCTTTCTTCCCTGCCTCCTTTCCTAGCTCCCAGTGTAGGGAGGAAGGGGCTCTGCCCTAGTGTCTGGCAACAGATATGTATGTCAAGGAACTTGTTTGTGTTTGGTGTGACACCCCACTCCTTGGCTCTGATCATTGTACCCCAAAAGCTAGGATCAGGTTGAGTTAGGGGATGGAATGGATGGGTAGGGATAGGAAGATGAAGCTGGAGATGAGACTGAGAAAAGAAATGGGGAGAAGCCAGCTCCACACCAGACACCCCTCTTTAGCCTTGGTCCCTTGTCTTTTTCCCTAAAAGATAATAAGTTCTGTCAACATAATAGATAATAAGAGTAATTTGAGAGGCAAGCAAGACTGCTGGGGCTGCCCAGGGACTCACACACTTGATGCTTTCCCCTCTGATGATGAAACTCAACCATCTCTTGGAAGGGATGGACATATACATCTGCAAAGCAGGAATGGTCCTCAGGGCTGAACAATGGTACCTGAATTTTCCATAGCCCTTATGTATTCCCTTTCTTCATTTTATACTCTCACAAACTCTGTGCTGGCACTCCATTACTGCTTACAGGGTGAGAAGTGGAAGGTCAGAGAGTTGCAAACATGTGTCCTAAGGTCAAGAACGAAGTTAGTTGTAAGGGCAGATCTGTGCCTCTTGAGTAATCTGATTTTCCCTGGAGATCCTCATTTGTGAGGCAGGCCCTCTCACTCAGAAGTAGGAACAGCTCCAGGGGCCAGAAGCCAGGCCTCCAGCCCCAAAATAATTGGTTTCAGTTCCTTCTCATGCTCTGTGACTTCATGCCAAAAGAGTTTTGACTCACGTGGCTGCTGGTGGCTCACACCTGTATATCCAGCCACTCAGGAGGCTGAGATCATGGTTTGAAGTCAGCTTGGGCAGGAAAGTCTGTGAGGCTCTTATCTCAAATTAAAAGACCAAAAAGCCAGAAATGTAGCTATGGCTCAGGTAAAGCACTAACGTAGCCTTGAGCACAAAAGCTCTGGAATAGTACCCAGGCTCTGGATTCAAATACCTGCACTTGGCACCCTCTCCAAAACAGGGACCCGTTAATTATAAGTCACTTGATGACACTCTGAAATCTCTGAGTTTGTAGGTAGTACCTTCAGCTGGGGTGGGTATTTTCATGTTCTCTTTTTAAATGTTGAGACCTCCTCTGGTAGGGCCAAAGAAACAAGGTCAAATGGTAAAAGAGACCTCAAGTCAAGTGCAGTGGCCATGGTTTGCAGATATGTATCGTGCCTGGTATGCTACCTGCTTGTGCCTTTCAGCACCTCTGTTCAGCCCAAAGTAGTAATCAGTGCAGGTGGTAATCAGTGCACTCATGGCCGGAAAGCCCTCTTCACAATACATTGCATGGTTATAAAACAAAAATAAGCCTGTCTCTTTCCTTTCTCTTAAGACTGTAGAACAAAACCCACTGTGGTGACTTATACCTGTAACCTTAGCTACTCAGGAGGCTAAGATCTGAGGATCATAATTCAAAGCCAACCTGGGCAGTAAAAGTCTGTGCAACTCTTCCCTTTAATTAACTAACAAAAAGCCAGAAGTGGGGCTGTGGCTCAAATGGTAGAGTACCAGCCTTGAGCAAAAAAAGCTCAGTGCACAGGTCATGAATTCAAGTCCCAGTACTAACACGAGAATATTGACATTTATTTTCAAGCTTTGGTGTCTACAGACATCTAGGTTTTACCTCCCACAAAATCCATTGACTAATGGAGACTTTTAATTCTGTGGTGAGACTAAAATCCATATGTAATTAAGAGTGAATGATAGCCAGGCAACTACTGAATTGGAGACTCAGAAATGGTGCCTACCTGTTCCCACCACAACCCAACCACTACAGTCACTTCAGAGGAGCTCACCCCAGACTTACAAGGCTCTCCAAGCTGCCATTCTGGGTTCTCTGGGCTTCACTCCTCCTTTAAAGAAGCTGAACATGGTTCTATCAAAAGGTACCACGTCACTCATCTTCAGTTCCAGTCTCCAAGATGTGGTCTCCACTCCCCTTCATGAGCATCTTTTACAATCTGATCTTTGCTCAAGATATACATACCCTTTTGAACTCAGGCAACAGCATGAATTAGTGAATGAAGAAGCCAACTATAAAGCTTCCAAAATATCAAAGGTCAAACTGCCAACCCAGCATTATCCCCCAGGTAATTTAGGTCCCACACTCCAGAAAGCCTCCAGATTATGTCATTGTTATGAAATTGGATTGAGGAATTTCAGCCCCATCAGAGATAAATTTGCCACAGGTCATCATGGAAAGCAATTCTTTTGTTAATGATAAAACCTGTTGGTCCTTTTGTTAGATTTTGTATGTGGGATGAATATTTAGAGTAAGCGTGTGTGTGTGTGTGTGTGTGTGTGTGTGTGTGTGTACGTGCGCGCGCGCCTGAATATTTAGAGTAAGCTCAGCCACAAAGCTAAGGGAAGAGCTTTAGAAGGTGAACATTTCCAAGATCCTGTAGATGAAATGGCATTACCAGTAATGATTTTGTAATTTATTTATTTATTATTGTGTTGATTTTTTAGTTCAGGTCTTCACACTCTCACTTGGCTTTTTTTATCAGGATGGCACTCTACCATTTGAGTCATACTTCCATGTCAGGCTTGTTTTTAAAATGGTTAAGAGTCATAGATATTTTTCTGCCTGGGCTGACTTCAAACCTCCAACCTCTCAGATCTAAGCCTCCTAAGTAGCTAAGATAACAGGAGTGAGCCATCAGCACCTGGCCAAGGGTGATTTGTGATTAGCTGTTGCTCTAATCTTCTAATGCAACTGATAGGGTAGCTGTTGCCTTTCTGTCTCTGCCGAGTTCCAGAGAAGGTCTGGGTTATTTCATGACAGCTAGAATGATGGCGTAAGCACTGAAGGGGCTCGCAGAGAGATGGCACTTTCCAATGTAATCTGAAGAACTTTGCTGGCAGTGAACATCTCCTGGGAAGGGTTTACGTCCTCTTCCCCTTTGCATACTGAGGCACTCATTCCTGTATATTAGGCGTTGATGAAAGTGTGTTAGACAAACAGAGAACCATGGGATGCCCCCTCTGAATTTGTTGTTATCAAGATCTGAAATAGGGTTGACAGGAACACCTCATGGGGGGGGGGGAGCAGTTATGAGTACTGAATTCTAACAGGAAGGGCTCATGAGGTATGTACTAATGCAGAATCTTGTATTTGGGGCTCTAGAGTTAAAAGAACTTGAAAACAACATCCGGAAAGCACTGTCATTTGACAACCGAGGCGAGGAGCACCGGGCATCATCATCCACGGATGGCCAGCTGGCGGGCTCTGGCGAGAATGGTGAAGTGCGAGCTGGCCAGGCCAAGCGCTTGGGCCTGGATGAGTTCAACTTCATCAAGGTCTTGGGCAAAGGCAGCTTTGGCAAGGTCTGTAGTGCATGTGGGCAGCCCTGCTGGGTTTTTTTTTTCCCCTACCCTGGTTTTGGTCTAAGATTTGATGAGGGTCAGCCTGGTCTCCTTACGTTGTCCTTTCCTATTGAGTGTAAATGGCCCAAAGCCTCGCAGATATAAGCCCTGGTTTTGCTGTTAAGGGACTGTGGGACTTTCTGTCATTTCTCCTGGATTGGATTAGATATGCTGCATGTGGACTGAACTGAACATTTTGCCACTAAAGTGTCAGTGTGCTTCTTTCTCCCTTCAGAGACCATCTGAAACTGTTACTTCATTATGAAAACTTGGAACATGAACTCTAGAGCCTCTGTCCTCAGTGAACTGAAAGATTCAGAGCATATCTTACCACATAGTCAAGTGTTTCTTTAAACCTGGTATTTAGTAAATGTTCTCTTTATCTTCTATAGGTGATGGGGAATTGAATCATTCTCTTATGTCTTGGATCAGGGTCCTCTGCCCTTGGGACAAGTCTCCATATTCTGCTCCCACTGAGATGAACTCATGTTCTGGACTATGTTTTTCAGTGTGTTGAATAGAATATTACTGGTGATCAGCTAATCTGATGGCCAGATGAAATACAAAAATAATCACCGTTTTAGGAAGATAGAGGGGCAGCTGGTCAGCATTTCATCTCCGATCTGAATGTCCCTTTCCTCTTTTTACAGCTGTGCTCAGTAGTAGTTAGGATTTGCATTTTAAGAATCTCCCAAAGCAAAAGCTTTGCTCTGGGGACCCAAGAGAGGGGTGAGAGGAGGAGTCACCTGCCCTCACGTGTTCATGTGTCTGGGTTATCCAAAGCTGCAGCCTGTGAGTCAGAGGGCTTAGCTACAGGCCCATTCTAGGAGTCTCCACAAGGAAAGCTAAGGTAGCCCTAGAGCCTGGGGCCTTCTTACCATCCAGCTTACCTGGCCCTATCTCCTCCTGAGACAATGCTCTTGACTAGAGCAATCACATTCTTTAGGGACAGGCTAAATAAGAAACAGACCCTAAGCTTCTAGCTTAGGGCATAGCTCTAGCTAGTGAGCTTTTATAGGTTGATTTCTTTTTAAGCAAGATTCAAGGAAAATAAGCACTCTCAGAATTTCCACATGGTGTAGGCAGGATGGGACCTTTGATGACTCTGGAGCACTTAGATGGTTTATTGGGGGAAAATCACAGCTAAAGTCTGAGCCAATTTTACAGAGCATGTTCTTTATGTGGGTGGTAGAACATCACGAATTCCCTTAGTAGGATTTTGAGTTCTGCTCCTTAGCTTTGACAGTGAACACTGGAATACTGCACTTAGGAGTTGGTTATTTAAAAAGAGAAAGACCTGTGACTTTTATTAGTAAGTCAGTGCCAAAATATCAAATAATAGGAAAGTCTCCAGAAAGTAGACTATAAGTCACCCTCTGCAGAAGGAGTCACATTCCAGTTATAAAAGAAACCTTTCAGGGGTGAGGGGAGGTGGCTCACACCTGTAATTCTAGCTACTCAGGAGGCTGAATCTGAGGATTGCAGTTTGAAGCCATTCTGGGATAGAATGTTTGTGAGACTCTTATGTCCAATTAACCAGCAAAAGCTGGAAATGAAACTGTGGCTAAAGTAATAGAGAACCAGCCTTGAGCAACCAAGCTAAGGAACAGTGCCTAGGCTCTGAGTTCAAACCCTAGTACTGGCATTTTTTTGAAAAAAGGAAAGAAAAAAGAAACCTACAGGCAAACAAGGGCAGATTTAAGTCCATAGAGATGCTGTTCAATAGAAACAACTAATGGGAAATTATAAAACAGGCTGAGGAAAATTTTTATAGACAGCAAGGATTAGTATTTTTTTTTTCTGGGTCTGGTCGTGGGGCCTGAACTCTGGGCCTGGCGCTGTCCCTCAGCTCTTCAGCTCAAGGCTAGTGCTCTACCACTTGAGCCACAGCACCACTTCTGGCTTTTTTCTTTTTGCTTATGTGGTACTGAGGAATCGAGCCCAGGGCCTCATGCATGCAAGGCAAGCACTCTACCACTGAGCCACCTTCCCAGCCCCAAGGATTAGTATTTTTATATATCATACATGTATAGAGTTGTAGGTAATAACATAAACAACAGAGAACTAGCAGAAGGAACAGACAAGAGAAGATATTGAAAAGCAAATTCAACAAATACTTAAAACATTTTTATTGCAAGTGAAAATAGTACTGACGTAGTATTTCCTACCAGTTTAAATTTTTTTATGTGAAAGTTCTCATTGCTGGTAAATGTCACAAACCCAAAATACTTCTGCATGGCACACTGTATGAATATATTTTATTAGCAGATATTAGTTGTATAAGCAGCGTGTTCATTGTTACTTTTTCATGCATGCATATAATGTACCTCTAATTAACTTACCCTCTACTTTCATATCCCTCACTCCCACTTCTTAAAAACAAATTCAGTAAGTTTCCTTGTTCTATTTTCATACATGTATATGATGTATTTTGACTATATTCACTCTCTCCCTTCCCCCTCCCTCTGGTACTGACCCCTCCCTAACATAGTCTGTTTGACTTTTTTATGATGCACTGTTTTTCACTTTTTTTAGTATACATTAATTGTACCAAAGGGATTTCACCATGGTTATTCACTTGTACATATATTGTAATTTAGGGAAATTGACCTCATCTAGGGGAAGGCCTTCGCCTTCCCAATTTAGTTGACTAGCTTTCCATGAGTCATGAGTTTCCTCATGTTCTCTATATACATAGACCTGAAAGATATACATAAACACACATATATATGAACAGATATTATATACTATATATAATGGAAAATTAAAATATTATATATAATATATGTGTGTAAGTTATATATACATGAATAACAAACATATATATGTCATATATACTATACATGTATATATACTATATATAACATGTTTTATATCACACATAACAATGTATATATAATGACATAATGTATATATTGTATGCATATGTATGTATATAATGAATACATGCATATATTTATATAATGTATTTATATAACATATATAACATGTATGTGTATATATAGCAAATTTATGTATATATGTGTGTATATATAATATATAACATATATGTATACATATACATATATACACACATATATAATGAATGTAACTGTGGGACTGTTTGGAGGGAATTGGGAGGAGAGAGGAAGAATAAGGATGAATAATACTAAAATACATGGTATCTATGAATATCATCTTTGAAAATTAGTTTGGAAATATGGAAGACGTTTGACCCTTTAATTATGAGGATTTCTATCTTAAGGATATAATACAAAAGAAAATTTAAAAATATGGACAAAATGGTGCAATTTATAACAACTAGATATAACTCAAGATGCTACTATGAGGGGTAGGGTAGCACATGAATTATACTGTTTGCTTGTAACTGTGTTTCAGCAACCATGATACCTGGAGACCAGGTTAAAAATTGCTAGTAAAATAATAGTTCTGTTCAAAAGGATTACACTATATTTGTGCCAGGAATGGTGGCATGCCTGTAATTCTAGAACTAGGGAGGCTAAGGCTGGAGGATTGCTTAGTTCAAACCAGCTCTAACTACATAGTTAGACCCTGTCTTAAGAAAGAAAGAAATAAAATAAAACAATACAATTTACTATAATTTGGGTATTTATCACTATACAAGAACATATGAATAATTATTTCACAAATGTTTATTGAACTTCTCTACTTTGAGAACTGTGCCAGATACTAAAAATCAAATTTTTTAGAGCTAGGGGCATGATTCAAGTGGTAAAGTGATTGTCTACCAAGCATGAGGCTCTGAGTTCAAATCCCAGAACTGCCAAAAATAAGTAAATTGGAGTAACACTATTAAGATGACTGGCTTCCTAACTATTTTTAATACTATTATATTGAAAATGAAAGGGAAAAGGAAATTAGTTCTTAAAGTGTTTGTTTGCTTGCTTTAAAAAAATACTATTGGGGCTTGAACTCCAGGTCTTACTCTCTATCTTGGCTTTGTTGCTTAAGGCTGGAGCTCTACCACTTACATCATACTTCCACTTCCAGCTTTTTGCTGGTTAATTTGGAGATATAAATCACATGGACTTTTCCAGTTCTTAGATCTCAGCCTCCTCAGTAGCTAGGATTACACACATGAGCCATCAGTGCTAGGCAAGTATTTGGTATTATGTTTCCTCTTTTGATTCTATTCAGGCATGGGATCATGGGGACAATGTTGATTGGTTGCAGGTGATGTTGGCAGAACTCAAAGGCAAAGATGAAGTATATGCTGTGAAGGTCTTAAAGAAGGACGTCATCCTTCAGGACGATGATGTGGATTGCACAATGACAGAGAAGAGGATTTTGGCTCTGGCACGGAAACACCCTTACTTAACCCAACTCTACTGCTGCTTCCAGACCAAGGTATGCTTATAGAGAGGCTGGCTGACCAGTCTTGGGTTAGCACTGTGGTGTTCTGTGACTGGCTGTCACATCAAATACAAGATTTCTACCCTTTATTTGCTTCTCTCAAAGACTTTGTAAGGAAGAATTTGAAAGTCATCTTTTTTTTTCTAAAAGCATGGGATTTTCTATCCAAGGTTGAATAGCGCATGGATGAGCGAGCAGTGGAATTATTTGTAAATATAACTGAACAAAGCCAAATGGCTAACCCTGGTGTTTGCTCATTGGAAAAAACCAGCAGATGTAGTCTTTCCCTACTCTGCTTCTAACTTCTATCGCTTGCCAAATCACTTGTATGTTACTTTCAGCTCAAAAGAAAAAGTGTAAAAGCCACCTGAATTGCTTCTTACTTGTGCTATGTCATAGGAGTGACAAGATGGCGATAGATGTTTAAAATTCCACAGTAAAATCCAAGCATTTAAAAAACTTACCATGTAGGTGCTGAAGATCCAGAAGATGGCAGCAAAGAAACAAAGATAATCTGCAGCTAAGTAGCAGAGTTCAGAGCCTGACCTCTGACTCAAAACTCAATGAAAAGGAACGCACAGTCTACAGGAAGCTCTTATTCTATCGTCCTTTGAGTGTTTCAGAGGGAGTGAGGGGATTTGTAGTGACTTTTTTTAAATGGAAAAATGGACTCACCTCAAAGCACTAAAATTATGCCCATCCAATGCCCTGTGGCACCATAGGGAGGTGATTTCTGGCTCCTTGGCATACCCTTGCTACCATGTTTCAAATCCCAGGCTCAGCTGGGTGCCAGTGGTTCATGCCTCGAATCCTAACTACTCAAGAGGCTGAGACCTAAGGATTACATGTAGTTCAGAGCCAGCCTGGACAGAAACCACTGTGAGACTCTTATACTCTAATCAACCAGCAAAAAGCCAGAAGTGGAGCTGTGGCCCAAGTGGTAGAATTCCAGCCTTGAGAGACAAAGTTAAGGGACAGTGCCTCAGGCCATTGGTTCAAGCCCTAGCACTGGCACACACAAACACATACAACACACACACACACACACACACACACACACACACACACACGTCTTTTCACTTAGATTTCAACAATTGCTTATATATTTCACTGAGCCAATTGGTATCAGTTATCAGTTGCTATATCAGGTGCTGGAGGTGCACTGGTGAATAAGACCCATCTCTAACCTCAGGGATTTTACAGTCTCTTTGGTACAGTTTTCCAAAGGTTGTTTCTTAAGAATCTAATCACTTTGGGAAGCTGTAGGAATAAAGGACTCTGTGGCCTGTAATGTGGACACTGCAATTTTTACTTCACCTAGTATTAACACACATTTGTTTATTGGAGGCCTTGAGAAGACCTGCAATGAAGGACTCTCTCTATTTAATCTACTATTTCCCAACTTTTTTGGTCCCAGGCCTAAGCATCACCCACACAGCATTATTCCACATTGAGCAACACTGATGCAGTGGAATTTTGCCTCTTTCTCATCTCTTAGGACAAGGAGAAGTATCTCCTGCAAAGTCTCAAAATGAATCTGTTTATCCTTCAAGGACACTTACGTTTCTCTGACTGTGAAAGTGCTTCAGAGACTTCCATGTAGTGAGACTATTTCCCTTTGCTGAGCAAGTATGGAACTTACTATCCTAGCTTTTCATGTGTGTTGTGTAATGCCTACTGGGTTAGTGTGAGTGTTTGTAAACACAGAGTCCAACATGATAGTAGAGATAGTAGAGACTCAGTGAGGGGTCAGATTTTCTACTATATCTTCACTCTGGATTCATGGGGAATGTATTGTGCCCTATGTATCTTTGTCTTACATATTATGTAGCATGGGACCTCATACTAGTCAGAATCAGAAGCTAGGAATTTTTGCTGGTGGTCTTTTAACAATTCTTTCTGTTTCCTTTTGTGTACCAGTGAGAAAACTGGGTGTAGAGAAGTAAAAGTCTTTTACCCATAGACACTTGAGTTTAGCAGTCAGACCTGGTTCTCATTTGACCTCTGGGATCCCACTTGCAGTGAGATCTTGGCTTTGTATCACTTTTCTACTCGACTGTGCATGAGTGCATGTGAAAAGAAACTCAGTGTTTCACTTTCCCTGTCCCCACAGCTTGCTCTCTATCTATCTGAAGAGGCTGGACTAGGAATAAGTCACACTGACATCCTTCCTTTGAATACATTGTCCAAAGGTCTAATATCCTAGGAGAAGTCCATTCTAATTGGGAGATCCCTGTGGATATGCTTCTGTGCAGATGACAGAACAGTAGCAAAGACAAATGGCTAAATGCAACATTTGTTCTTTGAAAAACCAGCAGATAGCCAGGTGCCTGTAGATCATGCCTGTAATCCTGACTACTGCAGGAGGCTGAGATCTGAGGATCTCAGCTAGCCCAGGCAGAAAGTCCATGAGACTCTTATCTCCAATTAATCACGAGAAAAGCAATAAATAGAGCTGTGGCTCAGTGGTAGAGTGCTAGCCTTGAACAAAAAAAGCACAGGGACAACACCCAGGCACTGAGTTCAAGCTCCAGGAGTGGCACAAAACAAGAAAAGACAAGAAAACCCTGCAAGTATGGTCTGTCTCTACTTCGTTCCTAGCTTTTTACCACTAATCAAATGGCTTATATGTGACTTCTAGCTCAAAAGGAAAAGAGAAAGAGTATCCTAATCAAGTCTAACTTGTATGACATCATAGGAAGAAAGGATGTAATCAGATGGTTAAAAATCTAGTAGATCTTGGAAAGCCACAGTGGAAGATCAGCTTGAATGAGTGAGAAAGGGGAATGGATATCTTTCACATCAGTAATGTTTCCTCTAAGCATTGTAGAATGTTAATCTCATGGTCCTCAGTGTGACAGTTTCTTCAGTGATGTTGAATGACAGCCTGGATTTCATTTGTGGAAGAATAATTGTTAAACTGACATGATTTGAGGATACTAGGGGACTGGAAGGTGAGAATGGGAAGAGAGGAACTTCTTTTGTAGTTCGGGGATTTTCTTGACTCTCTCCAAAGGATAATAAGAACAAACTTGTTCTTAGAGGAACACGTTTACCCCACATCTTCCATGCCACCAACTCTCATTTGAACACCTTGCTTTATATCACATAGATTTATTTTCTAAATTTGTTAAAATGAGACGTAATTTAATCTCATTAGAGGACCTTAACTTTCTACTAGAGGAAAACTTATGAAGAAACATCTTCTATATCTCCAAATCAGCTTTTTAAAACTATGACTTCTAACTATAACACCTTCTGTGATGACCAATAATCATGGTTTCAAGGAATAACTCTGAGCCAGGCACAGAAGGCTCATGCCTGTTCTCCTAACTACTCAGGCTGCCTGGGCAGAAAAAATGTATGAAATTCTTATCTCCAATTAACTAACAAAAAGCCAGAAGTGGAAGTATGGCTCAGACCTGATCAGAAAAAGCTAATTAAGGGCATAAAGCCCTAAGTTCAGCCTCTAGTACTGGTATGTGCACATGTGCACGCACACACACACACACACACACACACATACACTTACACACACACACACACACACACACACACACACACACAGGAGTAACTATTATTTACCTGAATGAGGTAGGTAGATGCTGAGAGTGGGTTTATCAGTAAAAAGGAAGATGATTCTCAAGTAGAAGTGTCACTTAGTTAAGATACTGAGAGGTTACACTGACTTTGGTCACAAATGGCTTTAGGTAGTCCTGTTCTGGGTGGCAATATTCAAATTATGGGGCCTCATAAGCAGATCCTTCTTAGAGTCTAGTGGAGGAAATGTGCTGAAGCCAGATTGAAGGGAAGAAAGGACTTGGGAAGGATTTGGGATGGGAAAGGGAGCTAGGTTTTCTTTGTTGTTTTGTTAGAATTTTTCTAAAAAAGAGAGAAGCATTCTTTACCCACCATGAACTTGGGTGTAAACTAAGTCTCTAAAGCATGACTCAGAAACATAAAGACTTGACTGCAATCCTGTTATACTTTCTTGCAGCCTGTGTAATTATGGTACACAAGGCAGTAACAATGTTAAGTCAGATTTAATATATTTTTAGGTAAGCCTTAGTTGTCAGTGTGTAGGAAGAACTTGCTCTTTTGGAAACATTGCTTGGAGAAATTCCTGGTAGATTAGCGAGTTGTGTGCTGTGTATAGATTTTCTGGCAGGATTTGGAAATGTGTAGAGTGAGGGACTCAAATCTGATTTGGTGACAAGTGCTGAAACCAGTTGGCATTAACCGGAATGGTCTAGAGGAGCCTGGTCAAGTTTAAATGAAAGACTAATTTGGACTTTCCTCCACTAAGTCTATCTGTTCTTGACCATTTGTGTTCTGATCATTTCCCATGGACTCTAGGATGACAAAAATGATGCAGAATAATTCTAGCTCTGCAGTGCTAGTGAGAAAGGATCAACCGGCCAATCAATGAAACCAATCAAATCCAATCAAATTCAAATCTCATGTCTGACTACACTTTCTACCTTTTGGGACACTAGAATAACCCGAGCTAAATAAAGGGAATGTTTCAAACCAGGCCCAGAAATACAAAGAGCATTTGGAAGAGAGTAGGATCCAAGAGATGGCCAATACAATTACCCTCAGATCTCATTTTTTAAAACTATTTCCCCAACACTAGAGCCTCAAACCTCCTGCATCCTGCTTCTTGCAAGGAAATGATACAAGAAAAGAGAAGAAGAAAAGTAAGGAAAGCAGTTCCTACCTGTGTAGGACAAGACAGTGATTGGTTGAAACAGGACAGGCAGTGCTGTGGTAGGCCCTCTCCAAGGAGATGAGGCACTTCGCTAGGCATTAAAGTCATGGGCATGGTCATTGGAGAAGTAACTGGAGAAATTGCCTAGTGCCAGCTCCCATTGACTGCTAGGAACAGGAGAGCCACTGAAAGGTAAATGTGATTTTTCTTTTTGTAACGTACAGGAAATAAAATTCCCAGGCATCTTTAGGTTCTGTATATCTGTGTTTTATGAACTCCGTTG